CAGAGTTGACTTTAATGTGAACACTCACCGCTCACCTCCACCCATGCCAGCCACAGTAGGTGGAGTGCTTCATGGATTCTGGAGAGAGCGTTCTGTAGCTGCCGCGCCTGCTGCATAGCCTGTATCCAAGAATGTGGCGAGGGTGTTGGGATTGACAACACAGAGACCCGTCAGTGGCTTCCAGAAGGCTCCTCAAGAAGGCTCTCCTTTATTCCTATCCTGGCTGGTTATTATATACCCTGACACCAGAGGCGGCGGTGGGTGAGTCAGAAAGAGGTGGTTAGTCTTTGGAAAAGGTTGAGATTAGGGCATTTCCGTGAGCCAGCCCTTATCAGGTGTGGGGACAACAGGCCTTGGCCAGAGACTCACTTCCCCATCAGCCTGGGAGCAGGCAGCTGTAAGACAATGTTTACTAAAAACATGTTTACTAAAAACAATACAGTGCCCTGGGCAATAAGTTCCTGAAGAGGGCTCTGTGTCATCAATCCCAACATCCTCCACACATTCTCGGATGCAATTGGAGGTCCCACTGAGATGTGAAAGCAAGGTAAGTGGACGGGGTCGTCCCTTTTTCTGGCCAGGGACAGATTGGGGGAAATAGGAAAAGAAACGATGAGAAATAGTCCCTGGAAGTTTAAATTACAGTATCAAGTTAAAAAGTTACTTGAAGAACAGGGGACTACAGTCAAGGCTAAAACCATGGAAGGCTTTCTAAAATGGATTGAATGAGCAAGTCCATCGTTAATTACTGGGGGAGGCTTAAATGTCCCAGATTGGGAGGAGGTTCGCCATGATCCTCAGGCAGCTGGACTGTGGTGGCTCATGCCTTTAATCCCAGCACTCAGGAGGCAGAGGTAGGTAGGCCATCCTGGTCTATAGAGTGAGTTCCAGGACAGCCTCCAAAATGATAGAGAGAAACCCAGTCCACGGGGAAAAAAAATAATAAAATAAAATTAAAAAATCTCCAGCCTTTTGCCTGATCCACTGAGGTCAGGAAAGTAAAGGGGAACTGAGAGATCTAAAATGCTGGCCAGCAAGTAAGGCTATGAGGATGTATTAAAAAGGGGTACCAACCTAGGAGTCCCAGATTAAATCTCCAGGCCTTCGCTCAACAAAGGTCGGGGAAAAAAGGGGAACCTGAGAGATGACCCTCAGTTGGGGGGTAGATTGGATTAAATCTCTAGGCCTTCGCCCGACAAAAGTCGGGAAAGAAAGGGGAACCTAAGAGATGACCCTCAGTTGGAGGGTAGATTGGATTAAATTTCTAGGCCGTCGCCTGACAAAGGTCGGGAAAGAAAGGGGAACCTAAGAGATCGCCCTCAGTTGGAGGGTGAATTGAGTAAATCTTAAGGCTTTTGCCTGAGGGAACATCCTCAGTTGGAGGATGGATTGAAAATGGGTGAATAGCTGGCGTTGGTGGCGCACACCTTTAATCCCAGCACTCGGGAGGCACAGGCAGGCGGATCTTGAGTTCAAGGTCAGCCTGGTCTACAGAGCGAGTTCCAGGACAGCCTCCAAACAATACAGAGAAACCCTGTCTCAGAGGAAAAAAAATATGGGTGAATCAAAAAAATTGGTAACAGTAAATGAGGTACTGGTATTAAGTAAAGAAAAAGGAAAAGACAAAGGTATATGGAATGGAAAAAGTTTGTTTGTATTTAAGGTCAATTTTGTGAGTCATCTCTAAAAACTTTTGGCCAAAAGCCTGGCCTCTCCACCTTGCATCTACAGAGTTACAAGGAGTAGGTACGGCTGTACCCCCTGACTGTAGCTCAAATGGAGGAATGATGAGGGGCACATAGGAATTTTTAACCTTTTTAGTTCAAGGATTGGCTGGAGTTGTTCTTTTACATAGATTTCAATTAAGGAAGTTTTATTTCAACAGACTAATCATGACCTAGGGAAAAAGGATGACTGAAAGATGAATGTATGTTCTGAATGTATGGTGTAGCCACACCGGTATATATGAAATGTGATTGTAAATGCATGAGTGTGAACTGCTTATATGATTAAAAGGATACTTAAATCCCTTCAAAAATAGTTAAAAAGCTACCTAAATTGCTTTAGATATAGCCAAAAGGAACATCCAGCCAGTCTAATGTTTTAACAGAAAAGTTAAGATGCAAATGAGGCCTTGTCAGCTAGTGAGAGTTCTACCGGTTAGATTGGCAAAGACTGCTCACAGACTTCAAATAATTTTCAAAAGTTATTTGGGACACAGTATAGTTTACAATCTTTGAGTGATTTTCAGATGTTTTTGGGAAATACTTAATGGATATGTCCTTTTTTTTTTTTTTTGGTTTTTCGAGACAGGGTTTCCCTGTGGCTTTGGAGGCTGTCCTGGAACTCACTCGGTAGACCAGGCTGGTCTTGAACTCACAGTGATCCGCCTGCCTCTGCCTCCCGAGTGCTGGGATTAAAGGCATGCGCCACCAACACCCGGCTGGATATGTCCTTTTTAAAGGGCATCTACTAATAATCTAGATAGTGATTGCAATTCACCTAGATAGTTAACTAAGGAGGGTAGACTCATCCTTCTACTGTTATGGTTCAGCTTCAATAGTTCAAACAAAATTTGGAAAATAGAAAAGGGAGAATAATGTCCCCAGTCCCCACATGACTCATCAAATAATTCACTCATCATTTAAAATTTTTTAAAATGTGAATGCCAGAAAGATTCTGGCATTATGGAACTTGAGCAACTACTGCTCAGGTCAAATGGAGACATCCATGCACTCGACAGTGAAGAAGACCCTAATTTGGGGTTGAGGGCATGTTTATGGTTTCTTGCAGGAAAATAATAAAGCTTCGGCAACTGTCAGAACATTTGGTGAGATGCATGGAGCGGAGAAAAACTGGACCTGAGACCGTGGGAGCCTACCTAAGCCAGTTTGAGTGAGATCTCCTAAATCACTGTTCCTGGCCCTTGATGTCATCGAATCTACAGCCCGAGAAAGAAAGAAAACAGTCAGTTCGAGATTTCCAGTTTCTCAACAGACCTGCTGCATCAACCTTCCAGACCCGTGAGTTTTCATCCTGAAGCCAACAAAGAACTGGAAAGACTAACTGTCTGCCCTTGACACACCTTGAAACAACAGAATTCATTTTGCCAGTTTTCCCTTTGGGGGAAAAAGGACCCATTTAAAACAATTGGACACTGGTATGGACTGTGATGAGTGGCAAAAGCCCCTTTTCAGTATTTGAACAGGACATGGTCACTTGAAATATCAGACTTGGTGGTTCCTGTTTCTGGAACTGCGCCTATGCCAGTGTATTTTTCTGGAGAAATGCAACTTGTCCTAATGCGACAAAAAGGAGACTTTGGCTCAAGTCGCATATTCAGCTGAGGCTGCTGACGTTAAATCAACAAACTGCATCACAACAGAAACAAATTGGTGCTGTGTGGATAGTGAAACAAGCCTCTTGTTCATATTTTTTATAATGCTACATGTGTAACATCAATGATTGTGCCTAATGTATCTGTGCAAGTGCACTTTCTAAATGCTTTCCTGAGTAGATCTTGAAACCATTGATTGTAAACTTTATCACTGTTTTGACTATCAAATTGTAACTGTAAATCACATGAGGGTTACCCTTGTAACAAAGGAAGGCTGGTAGAATGTTACAGCCCAGATCAGCGGATGGGTACAGCGATGGAGAGGCGCTATGTCAATGGGGGTCCTGGAAATGGTGGCAGTGGCAGTAGGCATTCTGGCTTTATGCCGAGTTCAAACGTGCCTTGTTCCAGAGGCAAGAGATCCGTAACCAAGTACTGCTCAGCTTAGCCCATGGCAATCCCGGTAGCCATGAAGTCTGGTTACAGATGATTTAAGCATGAGGTTCTCCAATGACAGACAACCTGTGGGGAAGAGACCTCCCACCCAGGGCTCGCCAGGTCCCCCAAGGACAGGCAAGGGAGGGTGACCCTACTTGACCTAAGCCAGGAGTGCCTCATTAGAAAATAAAAAAGGGGGAATTGTGGGGACAACAGACCTTGGCCAGAGACCCACTTCCCCATCAGCCTGGGAGCAGGCAGCTTTAAGACAATGTTTACTAAAAACATGTTTACTAAAAACAATACCGTGCCTGGGTCAATAAGTTCCTGAAAAGGCTCGCCCTCGGGAACGCCCTGACCTCGACCTTTTCCAAAGACTAACCACCTCTTTCTGACCCACCCACCGCTGCCTCTGGTGTCAGGGTATATAATAACCAGCCAGGTTAGGAATAAAGGAGAGCCTTCTTGAGGAGCCTTTGGGTCTCTGTGTCGTCAATTCCGACACCCTCTGCACATTCTCGGATACAGGCTGTGCAGCGGGCGCGGCTGCCTGCTCCCAGGCTGATGGGAAGTGGACCTCCAGCCAAGGTCTGTTGTTCCCACATGTAGCTGTCTCCTCTGAACTGGAAACTTCCCTTTTGGAACAAGAGGGAGGAATAAGGGAACTTGCAAGGCTCGGTAAGTTGCATTGGCAAGGCCTCTCCCAGAGGGAGGGGAGGGGAGACTCCTGTGGAGTTGCCTGCAAGGGACCTTTAAGGGTGACTTCACGTGTCCTCACCTAGGCTGGGGTGGGCTTTTCAGTGACCCAGTTGATGCCGACTCAATCATGCATGCATACGTGACCCCAGCAAGCTTACCAGCTCACCAAGCTAGTCCCGAATGGAGTCATTTCTTTCTTTCCATTTTGTTTTTTGTTTTTTTTGGTAAGAATTTCTGTTTTATGTGCATTGGTGTTTTGTCTGCATGTATGTCTGTTTGAGGGGGTCAGATCTTGGAGTTACAGACATCTCTGAGCTGCCACGTAGGTGCTGGGGATTGAGCCAGGGTTGTCTGGAAGAACAGTCAAGCGTTTTAAACTGCTGAGCCATCTCTCCAGCCCCTGGAATCACTTCTTTAGTTGGCCATGGGTGCCTTACCTGGGGCTGATAGGAGTCACATGACAGGGGGACACAGTGCGCCTGGGCTAGAGAGGAATGTCCGATCTGAAGAAAGCGCTGGACGCCTGTGTTTGGAAGCTTCTCTATTTTGTTGTCTCCATAAACGTTTGTTAAAGATCTGTCGTCTACTGGGCACACGGAGACTTGGGAATCCTCAGTGCTCAAAACACATCAAAACCCTCCTGCTGTCATAGAGCTCACACTGTAATGGGGGGAGCGAGATGGGGAGGGGCAGGGTTGGTGGGGCTGGCTGGCATGGGGGAGGCGGCCCTGAGCAGGCTCCAGGAAGTGGGAGCGCAGCATGTGCAGGGATGCCTAGGGCCGCTGGTTCCAGGCGAGGCAGGGCAGGCTCTAGGATGGGAGAGTGGCTGGAGCTCAAAGAGGGCACAACGGAGGGGTGAACAGAGAGGTAACGGGGGCTGAGGCCTGTCGGCCCTGCAAGCGCTTCGAGAAACCCCTCAATGACTCATACTCAGAAAGTGTTCCACTGATGGCTGAAGAAGTCACCATGGATGGGCAGGAACTAAAACAGGGAGCCCGAGGGAGGAGGCTCCTGCCATCAGTCATTTACACAGGGGTGGGGGGGTTCCTGGGCCCTCTCTCCCACAGCGGGGCTCTCTGCAGGTGAAAGGTGACAGACTCCCACCCAGCAAGTTTCCAGAAGCAGAGGGAAGGCGGCTGGGTGGCTGAAGGGCTGAAAGCATGTGGTGCTCTTTTGGAGGCCCTGGGTTCGGTTCCCAGAAGCCACATCTGGCAGTTCACAGCAGCCTATGGCTATGGCCTGATGCCCTCTGCTGGCCTCTGCAGGCACCTGCACGAACACAGCTCATGCAAATGTCCACACACATAGACAAAAATAGGTTTTGTCTTTAAGTAGCACCAAGAGGATTGAGGGAGGGAGGGAGCTATAAGGGAGACTGAGGACTCAAGGATGACCGCAGGGCTTCGGGCGGGGATCTGGAGGACAGAGCTGTCTTTAGCACTCGCTTTTGGAGACAGTGGAGGGTTCCAGAACTCCAAGAGAGGATGCCAGTACAAGGGAGATGTGGGGCTGGTGATGACATTCAAGATATGATTCAAAGCATATTTAAAACGCCCAGTGGTCTGAGCAGCAGCTCAACCATTAAAGTACTTGTGCAAACGTGGGGGGACTCAAGTGCGAACCCCAGGACCCACATAAAAATGCCAGGTGCGCTAGCACATGCTTGTAATCCTAGTGCTGAGGAGGCAGGGACCAGCGGATCCCTGGGGCTCACTGGCAAGGCAGCCTAGCCTGCTTGGAGAGCCTGGGCCAATGGGAGACCCTGTCTCAGGAAACAGTGCGATTGGGGTATGGTGGTGCACACCTTTAATTCCAGCACTCAAGAGGCAGGGGCAGGATATTTCCTGAGACCGAGGCCAGTACGGTCTACATGATGAGTTTCGGGTCTGCCAGGGCTGCGTAGTAAGACACTGTCTTCAACAAGAAAACAAGATCAATGGCCCCTGAGGAGCAGAAGCTGACGTTGACCCCTGGCCTCCGCATGAACCCGTGCACCTGCAGTAAACAAACCAAAAAAAAAAAATACCCAGAAGCATTCACATAACGCAGATAGTCATCTACCTGTGATACAATCAGTTCACCAGCCCAGCACCAAAATGTACGGACCACTGGCGGAGGCATTCCAGCATACTACCACACATAAATATTACGCAGTATACAAAGTATGTACAAACATGAGCAAATTCCTCAGGATGAATTACAGTGAAACCAAAACCAGTCAACCAAACAAAGAAACAAAACAGTTCCTGTAACTTTTTATAGAGTAAATGAAGAAAGGGCCATAACACACAGCATGCATTTTTTTGTTTGTTTTCAAAACAGGTTTGGCATTTTCTTTTTTAAATAGCAAAAAGTTACTTCACAGATATCAGGGTTTGCATAAGCAGGAAAAATAGCTATAAGGATATGGTAATACTTTACTAATTTGGGAGAAAGAACTGAGGATACTTTTGTTAAATTTCTTAGTTTACCCTCAGTCCTGGGGATTGAACCTAGGGCCCGGAGAACACCAGGCAAGCACTCTCCCACTGAACCGCATCCCTGGTCATCTTCCACTTGTTATTTTGAGATAGGATCTTGATAAGTTGCCCAGGCTGACTTTGAACTCTCTGTGTAGCCTACACACACATGGCAATCCTCCTGCCTCAGTTTCCTAAGTTTCTGGGATAACAGGCGTATGTCACCAGGCCTAGCATGTTTTCCTTTGTGCGCTGTTTGGGGTTCTTTTTTGAGAATCACAATAGTAGAGAATGTTTGATACATGAAAGTAAAAAGTAAATTAAGTAAAAGAAGGTTTGCGAAGTCAAGAGAGCTAGAGGAACGCAGGCTGCAGGCTGCAGAAGAGACTCCGACAGGAAGAGAGGAGCTCACGGGGACTCCCTTTGTGCCCAGAGAGTCACCGTGGGGCTTTGCTATCAGAGGGACTGGACATTGTGAGAGACACTGCCTTGGGCAGGTCACCTGAGCAGACACTAAGATGGGCATGCAGGGAGAGGGGTGCGGAGCCTCTCTGTGACACGCTCGGACTCCCTGAGACTTTCTCTGAGGACATCTGGACAAACAAAATAACAGCAAGAATCAATTGTCTGCCCTCCTGTGTACCAGGGAAGGACACCGGGAGCTTCCACAGTGGAGCAGCTGTTAATGACAGGGTTCCCCTTACAACAGGCCTGTTTTAGGGAGACCCTCTCCTTACATTAGGGTTGTTCTGGGGAGACTCTCTCTTTACATTAGAGTCACGCACACTCTGCTGCTATTCTGCTACTTTCCCACTCAAAGCTCTTGCCTGCACCTGTGGGAACCTGGAATGTGTGTGAAAAATTGGACAGCTACCCTTACTACACATACGAGTCAGCACTAGAGCAGGGAGTTAAAGAGGAGGCCTACTGTGGTCCTGGAAATAGACTTGGGATATTTGGGCAAATACTTCCAGGGTCCCAGTTGCCTGGAAGGCAGGAATGGGCATTTCGCCTGGCTGGGAGAGTGCTCTACTGCAGGGAAGTGTAGCAGGAAGACAGTCACAGCCTGGTTCTTTCAAGTGCACGACTTAATACACGCACACATGCATGCACACAGGCATGCGCACACACACACACACAACGTAATAAAGAACAAATCAAAGTCCTGCTGGCTGCCGTGTGAGGGAGGATGAGCACACCCTGCCTTTCACCCTCGGGATAGGAAGGTCTCTTAAAGAGCAAAGAGGGAGCCAAGCAGCAGCAGCGGCGGAGGTGGCTCGCGTTTGTGGTGGGCATCCTGGGACTCAACTCAAGGTTAGGGTTTGGGGCTGCAGGGGAAGCACGCTCACACCTGGGCTGAAAGTGACAATTCTGGCACCTGTGTTGGGCAAGGGTATAGTGAGGTACCGAACTGCCAACACAGGGCACATACATACACATGGGCAAAACACCCGTACGCATAAAACACACCTTAATCATTTATTTATTTGTTTGTTTTTGAGACAGGGTCTCGCTATACAATCCTGCCTGGTGTGGAGCTTGCTATGTGGATCAGGCTGGCCTCAAACTCACAGAAACCTCCCTGGCTCTGCCTCCTAAGTGCTGGGATTAAAGGGCCATCATGCCCAGCTAGACCTCGTGCCTTGTATTGGCTGGGGTTTTCTAGAGGAAGGGCACCAGCAGAATGAGTACAAATTACAAAGGAGGCCAGACGGTGGTGGCGCACACCTTTGATCCCAGCACTCGGGAGGCAGAGGCAGGGGGATCCCTGTGAGTTCGAAGCCAGCCTGGTCTACAGACGGAGTCCAGGACAGGCGTCAAAGCTACACGGAGAAACCCTGTCTCGAAAACCGGAATGAACAAATGAATTGCAGAGGAGGCTGCTAGACTGGCTCACACAACAGCGGCCTTCTGTACCTGGTAGCTGGTCGCTCCTTTAGGCAGATGCCTCAGCTGTGAAGCAGGGCAGGGCCCCTGGAAAGCGACAGCCCAGGTCTCTATAGTGACCTCCAAGATGGCCTGAGCTTCAGAGTGAGACCCTGACCCAAAACAAGAGCAAAAACAACGACAAACTGTTTTTCTAAGAGCCAATATGTATGAAGAACTTCTGAGCACATTAAAGAATGGATGGAGTCGTGCCCCCCCGAGAGAGAGAGAGAGAGAGAGAGAGAGAGAGAGAGAGAGAACAAGCGTTAATGGAAGCACTTAGTAGTAAGAAACAAGGCTTTGTAGCCAGACTGGCATGGATCCTTCTGTCCACTAAACTTCATAATAAACTCACCTGTAGGAAGGGTGATCCTGGGGCCGAGGAGGTGGCCCAGCCTTTAAGAGCAGAGGACCAGAGGTCAGTTCCCAGAACCCGTGTCAGGGATCTCACAATTGCCTATCGCTCCAGCTCCCGGAGATCCGATGCCCTCTCTGGCCTGCATGGGCAACTGCACTCCCGTGCACACAGACACATAGAGACACACAAAACAGAACTAAAGCTTTACCAGGAAGAAAATAAAGGTGATGTTATCTGGCACACAGCATACACCCGCACCCAGCTCTCGGGAAGCTGAGGAGGAGGCGGGAGGATGGTGACCTTGAGGCCAGCCTAGAACACCTAGCCAGCCGTTAGAAATGCAAGCCTTTGCGATGACGACAGGGATGACGCTCTACTAGAGAAAAACTAGACGGAAGGGGCGGAGCCGGAAGCAGAAGTGGGACGCCGAGTCTGTAGCGTCTCCGTTGCCATGGAGCCAGGGAGCCTGGAAGAGCAGCGATCCGTAGTTTCCCCGGCTGATAAATTCCCAGAGACCTTGTGGGCGTCCATCCCGCACCCGGCCGACTCCAGAGCCCCCAGCTTGCTCACCAGAAAGTCCTTGCGGTCCTCGAGCGCCATCACCGATGGTTGCCAGTACGGCTTCCCCACGCGGTCCCTCCGCGCCGGGTTCCAGGCTCTCCCGCCGATCCCGGAGCCGCAGATGCTGCGTCTGCGCCCCGCCTCGCTGCGCACGCAGGACATCTCGCATCTGCTTGCCCGAGTTTTCCGAAACTTGTACACCGCCCAGGTATTCGGAGAGGACTTGAGTGACAGTTTGATCAAGGCCCGCGGCAGCGACGATGCGCGCCACGAGGAGTTCGTGGACCAGCTGCAGCAGGTATATAGCGGGTGCGGACTCTCCCTATGTATGTCCAGGGTGCAGCCGCGCCAAAGGGAAGGACGCTATCCAAACTTTACACGCACGCGTGAGAATGGCATCTTCCAAGCTCCTTTCTCTGCACACATACACGTTATGTGTTGCAAATATAAATGAAACGTCTGGAGCCGACAGCTCGATGGTTTGTTCCCTGGGGGTGATGGAACCCAATCACCCTCCTCCCTTGGGGTGACTCTATCACTAACCACAATCATGGCTGAGATATGCTTGACCACAGTTTCGGATCTCTGGGTCAGCAGCGTGGTTTCCTCTTCTGCACGGGGCTCAAAACAGCAGACTGGGAACTCCTTGATGAGCCTGCCTTTGCCAGCTCACAGTGGAGGACTCCCCGACTCTCCCTTATCGCGACCTCTCTGCCTTTTCTCTTTCTTCTCCCCTCCTTTCTGTCCTTTCCTTGCCCCTTACACACATGCCCCCAACTTCATCCATTCCTTGTCGCACACATTTATGAACTACCTACTGTGTGCCATGCTCAGTCCTAGGCAGTGAGGATTCAGTAGCCCGGATTCCACCACAGAGGCTTACACCTCAGCGGTGCAGTGTGTGCCTGGCAAGGGTAAGCCCTCAACCCCCAGCAATGCAAACAAACAAAACTTTAAGAAGAAAATATAGACGCGGGTAAGATGGCTCTGGCTCGGCAGGTGCAAGGGCTTGCTGCTAAGCTGTGACAACCCCGCCCCCGATGCCACACCCCGCCCCCCAGTGGCAGGATATTGACAGGCTCTGTCTTGGCAGGTAATCACAGAGGAGTGAGATCAGGAGCCCAGTGGTCTCCACCTCACTCCATCCTTCCTTTGTGTGGTTGGTTGTTTTCACCCAGTCTTCTGTGATCTCCCCGAGCCTGGGAGGGCGGGCGGAACAGAGAACTCCCTCTGGTGGCCCCATATTCAACAGTCCCTTGTTCTCAGTTCTTGGGTGGTTATGGAGCTCTGTAGTTAGGACTGGGAAAGGGTGTGGCTCTGCCCACAGAGGCAGACGCTAATCTGACTGTTTCAAGCCCCGGGCTTTCTCCATCTGAGGTTTCCACGAAGGCTCACTGGCTGTTGGTCTTCCCAGGTCTAGCTACAGAAATTCTGTGCTGTGTGTTGACTAAGCACACACTTGCAATACGTCCTCCAGCTCCAACCCTGCCCCTACCACTTACAGCTTGGAATGGTGGAACACACTTTTAACCCCAGCTCTTGGGAGGCAGAGGCAGGTGGACCTCTGTGAGTTCAAGGCCAGCCTGGTCGACATAGTGAGTTCCAGACCATATCCAGGGCTACATAGTGAGACACATCTACTCTGTGTTTGTTTTGAGGACTTGGTGAGCCAGTTCAGTAAAGAATGATTAACTGATGACTCTTACATGCAAGAATTAGGATCTGGACTTTCTGGAACGTCTAAAGAATGGGGCACCCAACTTGTTAAGCATGGTACTTTATGTTCAAGGCTCCCCTGGCTGCTGCTTTCTCAGAGGGGGCTTCCTAGCCACAAGAAGATTAGCCACCACCTCCTAGCCTTCACTGTATACCCATTCATCTACTCTCAAAGAATGGCGGGAGCCGGGGAGGTGGATCCAAGGTCAAGACATTTGCCGCGGAGCCCGACGACCTGAGTGCTCTTCCCCAAGACCCACAGAAGGGGAGAACTCACTCCCATAACTTGTTCTCTGGCGCCCACACATAGGCTCAAAATAGCATAGGTGCACCGGCCGATAGATAAACAGATGGAAAGCAAACAAGAATGACTAGATAAGCGTCTCTGAGTCCTAGAAAAGCAGCGAGGAATGCTCTCCCTATATGCTACTGTCTTAGTGTCCCAGCACCCACATAAAACACTGGGCACGGCTGCCTATAGCCACAACACTGTTGAGAGAGAGGGTAGGGGGATCGCTAGGAATGGCCATCAAGCCTACTTCCAAGTCCCGTGGCAGACCCTGTGTCAAGAGAATATGGTGAAGGCGACGAAACAGCAACCAGTATCTCCCACTGGTCTCTGCGTATGTATGCACGCACACATATGAGCGCACACAGCGTTTAAAAATGCTTATTTTGAGCCAGGCGGTCGTGGCGCACGCCTTTAATCCCAGCACTCGGGAGGCAGAGGCACTCACTCTGTGAGTTTGAGACCAGCCTGGTCTACAAGAGCTAGTTCCAGGACAGCCTCCAAAGCCACAGAGAAACCCAGTCTCGAAAAGCCAAAAAAAATGCTTATTTTGTTTTTATGTATGTATATCCCTGCATGTGTTCACACATGGCGGGGGAGAAGAGGATGATAGGTTCGCTTGGCACAGGAGTGACAGGAGTTATGATCTGACTGGTGTGGGCCATGGGAGCTGAACTCGGGTCCTCTGGAAGGTCAGCTGTTAACAGCAGAGCCGTCTCTGTAGCCTCCCGACTCCTCCAAAGATGTGGCGTATCACCTAGGTTTCACCTGGGTAGCATATCACCTAACCGTGTTTCTCTTAGGATCAAAATAGCCATGGCTTTGTGTACACTAGATGTGGATGCTACAAAAAACGATGCCACCTCAGGTGAGTCCCCTCCAGGGGGTTAAACGGATGAAAGAGGCTGACACCAGAGGCTGTGCGCTGGCTGTGTGTGATGGAGCTAGAGAGTGGGGCCTCTCCCGAACCGAGACAGAGTGCCAAGCTTGACTCTTACTGACCATGCTATGAGACTGCCATTGCCTTCCATTGAGCTCGGAGTTTACATCCGCTAGGTCGGAGCAGAGGGCTTCGATAGTTCTGTAGTTGTCCCGTGCCGGGCTGGAAGCCCTGGCATGGAAGGACACAGGGCAGTGAGTGCCAAGATGTGGGCTCTCATCAGATTTCTGTGCATTTGGACGCCCCCTCCCCAGGTTCGAGCCATCTATAAACAGCGTCTGGATGAAGTCACCATGTTGGAGAGGCATATCATCCAGGCCCGTGCACGGGACCTTGCAGAAACAGAGCATGCCACCAAACAGACCAAACTACATGTCCTGGAGACCCCTGTCAAGCTGCCCCCAGGTAGGTGTGAAGTGTGTGCACCTGCCAGGCTCTGCTTTCCCGTGGGGAGAGCGGGTTGCAGACACGACAGTCAGTCGGCACAAACCCACTCCAGTGTGTCTGGTCTCTCCGAAAGAGCGGTGCTCCACACGGCCAGGGACTTGACACTGGTGTGACACTGGTTCCGGGCCACGGGTCCCACTTGGATTTTTCCCGCCACCCACCATGGCTTCCTCCCCTCTGACCTTTCATACCAGGCTTCCCTGGTAGGCTAGGCTGGCCGGCCAGTGACCCCAGGAATTTGCCGGCCTCCACCTCCCAAGTGCCAGGAGTTCAATTCCAAGTACCCATCAGGCAGCTCACAACTGTCTGTAACTCTAGTGCCGGAGGATCTCTTCCCATACCCCCTACGGGCATGCGCGCACACACATATGCTCTCTCTCCCTCTCTCTCTCTCTCTCTCTCTCTCTCTCTCTCTCTCTCTCTCTCTCTCTTGTTCTCTCGCTCTCACACACACACACTTGAAAATCATTTTAAAACTGCTTTGAAGAAGATGTGCAATGACGTGTATGTAAAAACATCATAAAGAAGCCCATTATTTCATGTGGCAACTTAAAAAGCAAGGAAGCCATTCTGACCTCTACCCCCTGGGAGGACTGAGGAGAAGGGAGGAAGACCCTTCTCCCCATCACGTGACCATCACCAAAGTCCATAAGAATGACACCGGATTGTGTCCCCTTGGCACTGCCTTTATTCCCTGCCAAAGCTGTCCCTGTCAAGGGAGTCAGGGACTTCACTTTCAAAGTGTGCCTTCCCTGTGATCCCAGGATCCTTCGGGAAACACCCCGAGGGAGTTCTGGAAGGGAAGCCTCAAGAAGTGGTAGGTGATTTGCTGGCTGTCAGGTTTTTTTGTTCACTTGTTAATTGGTTGATTTCTAATTATTTACACACATGTGTCTGTGTGGGTATACGCACATGACTGCGGGTACCTTCAGAGGGCAGATGAGAGTAGCAGATCCCCAGCGGCTGGTTCCAGGCAGTTTGTGAGCCACCAGATGTCCCCGCTACAGGGGCAGTAAGCTCCTTAAGCCATGCCCCCTGTCCACTTTGGAAGTGCCATCCGATGGCTTCTTGAGAAACTTCTGCTTCCCCTGGCCTCCTCTCCCTTAGCCTGTAATATCCTGTACCCCTTCACTCTGCCGTGCTGTGAGTGGCTTCTGCTCCAGGCTCTGCTAGTTAACTTTAGGTCAAGCCTTGGGATCCCTGTCAGCACCCATGAGGGTAGAAGCAGGTATTCCTTCATCAAGGGGCGCTGGGGATTGGCCCCAGGGGTTTGTGCACGCCAGGAAATTACTCTACCAACTGAGCTTCGTCCCCAACCCCCAAAGGAATTTAGAACACAGCTCAAGGAGGCTCCGCCAATGCCTAGCACTGACTTATTTAAACTGCAGCACCCAGGGTGAACTCTCCCTTAAGACACGGACTCCGTGTGGCGGCGATGTGTCGGTGTAGGCTCTTCGTTTGTAGCAAGCATGCTGGGCTGAGGAGAAGGCTCCGCATGCGCAGTGGTAGAGGAACAAGAGAGCTGTCAGGCCTTCTCAGTTTGGGTCCCAATTTCTAACTGCTCTAACGAACAAGTCTGATGTGATGGCCCGGTGGGTAAAGGCGCTTGCTGCCAAACCTCACAACTGGAGTTCAGTCCTCAGGGCCCGCGAAGGGGAGGAGGAGGTCAGCTGATCCCTGCCGTCTGCCCTCTGACACCCAC